TGAAATAAATACTGGAAAAGATCGATTCGCGGCTTTTGAGAATCGATATCGAATCGACATCATTTAAAAAAACGAATAATCGAAAAATCGATTTTTTTTTTTTTGCCCAGCCCTATTAGTAATCAACACCGAATATTCTAAGCTTCGGAGGCTGAACACATTCTTCTCTCTAATAAAGGCAGAAATCTGTGTGTGAAGTTTAAATAGGTATACAAAACTGGAAATAAGTAAACATGTAGCCAATAATATATAACCAAATAAATAAGAAACGTAGAACGTTTATTAGCAAAACGAATAAAGCCTGTGTTATACTTTCCGCATGAGAAATCTGGACGCGTACGCGGACTACTTGTATTTATACTACCGAAAGCATACACTGATGGTCTGCTCCGCGGATGTGTTCCATACATGCGTAGTAGATCAGCTTGAACAAAAAACAAACATGTGAACAAACAATTGCCCAGAGTTATTGCACATCTGGCTGTCTTTATATTGTTTTATCGACAGATTGTACAGGTTCGAGTAGCAACGGGCTTCTTCACACAGCCTGCGCATGCGCAGTAGCCTACTGAAAAAAATGGTCACAAAAAATGGGAGGCATGCGGATGTCCACGCAAAGCCTTCGTGCACACTCTCCGATGACGATTTTTACGTCACGCATACCATAGCGGACCTGCGGACGCGGAAAGTATAACACAGGCTTAAGAAAGCTTGGAGGCACGGCATACACCTTGATGTCAAATAAAATAAATAAATTACACAAAGTTTAAATAAAGTAAAAATCAGCAAACACTGTGGAACCAATTAAATAAGAAACGAATTAAATTTTCCCACCGGTTAATCGACGTGTGACAACACCGGTAATACCGGTATTACCAGAGGATGGGGGGGGGTCTATATTATATATATATATTAGGGCTGTGTATCACCAGCAAAGTCACGATATGATACATATCATGCATGATACAGAGGCCACGATACGATATGTATAGTGATACGAGACGTATAGTGATACGAGACTGCACTAAATTTCACCTCAGCAGAATTTAGTAAAACAGCTGTTTATTAAACACTGCATACTATAGGGCCATTGCTAAACCTATTTATCAGCACTCAGCATAACATTTGAAACATTTGAATTTCATAATAATGTTTATTATGCATAAAAAAATGAATGTGAATAAAGCTCCTATCCAGTCCCCATTAAATAGGTTGCAAGTGGGACCTTCTGGAAGGAGTAATGCAATAT